TTCTACATCTGCTCCTATGCCTTCGCCGGCTCCTGCGAAGGTTAGTGGTGGAAATTTTACTGAAATTGAGGGATCATCTGTAGTGCCATTCACTACAATGCAGGCAGCTGTGGCCAAGAATATGATGGAGAGTCTATCAGTGCCCACTTTTCGGGTTGGATATCCGATTGTGACCGATGCTCTTGACGCTCTGTATGCCAAGGTATATATATATAGTGTACCTACATTTTGTATTTGCATTAGTAAAGATGACAAATGTTGAGTTGTGTTTTTGAAAATTTTGTATTACTTTGTGTGTGATCAGGTTAAGAAGAAGGGTGTGACAATGAGTGCTTTGCTAGCGAAAGCTACAGCAATGGCGCTTGTTCAGCACCCTGCGCTAAATTCTACATGTAAAGATGGGAAGAGCTTTACTTATAATAGCAGTATTAACATTGCTGTTGCTGTGGCAATCAATGGAGGATTAATCACACCTGTGTTACAGGATGCAGACAAGGTATGTAGGGTTTATTAGTGCCTATGATCGCGTACTTGATTGATTTTACCAGTTTGTTGCAATGATTTGTCTATGGATATATAATTATGTGGAGTTGCATTGTTGATTGTTTCTAAATTAAGGGTTTCTGCTTATGTGCAGTTGGATCTTTATTTGTTGTCCCAAAAATGGAAAGAACTAGTAGAGAAGGCTCGTTCGAAACAATTGCAGCCTCACGAGTATAATTCAGGTTTGAAATATGTGATTTTATTCATGGTTTATGTTGTCTATGTGCTTAATGTCTCGTTTTTGAAATGAATGAATGAAATTATGCTGGTTATGCATGCTAGGTACTTTCACCTTGTCCAATTTGGGCATGTTTGGAGTTGATAGATTTGACGCTATCCTTCCTCCTGGCCAGGTTAGTTATTGGACCTAAGTTAATCCTTAGTAGTCATTTTTGAATAAAATCCTTCCCTTGCATTGATTTGCTATTATAAAATATTAAATGCCACTTCAAAAAACCAACAATCTAATGTATGTCATCAGGGAGCTATCATGGCCGTGGGAGCATCAAAGCCTACTGTTGTTGCTGATGCTGACGGTTTCTTCTCAGTAAAGAATAAAATGCTGGTGAGTGTAATTCCTTCCTTTGCACACTGTTTTTCAGTTCTAGCTGATTAATTGAAACTTTGAATGATTATATACTGGTATAGGTGTTTGGAATTAGTTTAGCTTTATGTACATGAACATATAGTAGCCACAATTCTTACACAACGATGATCTAGAGCCTTCTATAGCATCTTAATTCCTGTCAGTGTCTGAGTTTATATACCAAAGTGGGGTGTTGGGGGGATAAAACTTGCAACCCCTCAATTTTCCCAGTGTACTTGACAATTCTCTTACCAGACACGAGATTCATACCAAAGTTTGTGTAGGGAGTATTAGGTTCATAGTTCAGTTTACGTAATACTAGTTAGTAGTACACTTTTCAAGTTAATGAAGTTGAATGAGGCTGCTAATAATTTAATTACAATTCTGATTATTTGAAGATGATTCGATCCCTCATGTTTCTGTAATTTTTTTTTTTTTTGGGTGAAATGTTTCAGCATTTTTATTCCTTCTTCTGTCGTTAACTTTGTCCTTATTTCCTTGGTCATGTCTTAACTTCATAGCCCATGCTAACTACGGATTACAAGGTATTAGAGTATGTCTAATTTTAAGGCTTAAAGTTTTCTCTGGAATGACTGTAATCACCGTAATTGCTATTCATGGTCAAACCAGTTTCATGGAAACCATCTTAGTGTGCTACAGTGCTGTAAAAGGCATGAGGTGCCCTAAACCACTAAGGCGATAATATGCTCGTATATTAAGAAAGATCTGTCCACATATTAGATCTTGATCGAATTTTCTATTTGAGTTAAAATGAATCTCAATTTAGTCATATGTTTGAAATAAGAAATTCAATGAAAAACCAAACTTGAGTCTACTCACCTCTGGGATGACTGTTTGATACTAGATTTGAGTATTATGGAGTAAATACATAAGGTATTATAAGAACAAACTCTTTTCCTGCAATAGCAAGATATACTGACATTGGTGGAGCAGGCTTGGGTCCAGTGATCCTACTTCACATTATGTGAATCAGATTTTATTTTATTTCATTTTTCCAGGCCTGATATATTAATTAACTAGTGATAGAAAGGGTGGTTCATATATCTCTCTCTATCTTACCTGGGACCAATGTATAAAAAGCTGTGCCTAGCAGTTAAGGTGCAAGGTGGTTAGGGTTCAGCGCTTTTCTTGGCCTAGGCTTGGTGATTTCAAAGTAATGCTGAGGTGCATAGCAGTTTTTATTCCAAACTTTTATTTTTTTAATAATTTTTATTGATAATGCTTTACTCCGATGAGGAGCACCAAGGTGCAAAGCAGTCTTAATACCAAATTTAAAATTAGTTTGATAGCTTTATTAAGGTCGCTTTACTCAATTGCAGCGACGTGCAAAAAGGATCCCTCTCATATTACTGCGCCTTGAGCTTTTTTATACATTATCTTACACCCATTAAACAAATATTGTTTCTCTTCTTCATCTTCTTTTCTAGTAAGATTAATTATATTGTCAACACCATCTTATTTGATTTTTATAAATTTTAACAATAATTGCTGTTAACTTTACTGGCAAATTTGTCTACTTTTGTGTTTGAAGAGGTTTTTTTTTCCTATTTGAATTAAACATACTTTGTTATCAAGTTGTTAGGGAGAGGAAGGGTGGTAAGTGAAAGAAAAAAAAGGCTTCTTGGTTTGCAAACATAATCAATTGAAAAAAGGGTGACACAAATTATGATAAGGGGGCTGCCTGGGTAAGTTATTAGAAGAAGAAGAAGAAGAGAAGAGAGGGGGGGGGGGGGGGGAGGGATTAAATTGGCTTCAATGAAAATGTGCAATTGAGTATGGCAAAACAAGTTTCCAATAGGGAGGTAGTGATTATTGTGGTGAAATATCAAGAAAGGTGGATGTTCTTCACATCTTTGTTAGTAGTTTTAGATGGTCTTTTGTTGTATGTGTGTGTGTGTTGTAAAACATCATTGCCATCTCATGATTCATGAACCAAGGCTGTTCATGGGTAGGGTATACCATATGGCTAGGTCCATCAGTCATGGAATAATTCTATACATGAACACATAAATGTTTCTATTTGGTAATTCATAATTGTAGTTTTGATCTTTTTGGAAGAATTTTGTTTTTGAGCTCTTTCCAAGACTTCTGGTTTCCTTGGCCTTTTCCCTTTGTTCCCTATTACACGTCTTCAGGGAAATGACACTTTGATTTTGGTGGTGGGGATTGTGGGAAACTTTTTTTATTTTATTGAAGAGAAAAAGTATATGTCTAAAATTAGGGTGGAATGTAATGCCGTAGTGCCCGACAACTTAAAAAAGGGTGAATAGCAGTGCAGAACTGAGGGAGTATAATACATCTTAGGCTTGACTAATGTTTGACTTGAGCCTGTATCTGACAAGGTCGTTGGACTTAGCAATATGTATTATTTCTCCAAGTGGGTCAGTGGAAGATCTATAGCTCATTATACTTTTTTCTTTAAAGTTTTTACTTTGTATATTTTATTTTTTAATTAAGATATTAAGCGTTTTGCTGAAGAAGTTATGATGTTTGATTAAATGTTAATTGGTGAACTTCCTAGTAGGCTATTAACTATTTTAGTGAATGGATTTTGGGCATTTCAGCCCCATGAGCATTGTAACATCAATGACTAGTACTTGCACATCATCCAGGGCTTGTAGAGGTTTCTTTATGCCTATCTTACCATTTTTGCTACAATTTCATTGATGCCATTCTGTAATACTTATTGCTTTTAATCTATGTATCTTGTCTGCAACAATATCATTGCTATTAAGGTTGTGCTATTGAAACTAAGTGTTTGGCAGTTTGAGCATGTGACAAATGGAGTTATTCTCCAAATCTTTACTATCACCTGGGTTTCAACATACTCGTACATGAAATCCTAACAGCTTAACATTCCGTGGTTCAGCAGACAAGATTATATTTGGATGGGTTTTTATGAATAGTTTGACTCAAGCTGTTAAATTTTTTGTGCAGGTGAATGTCACAGCTGATCACAGAATCATCTATGGGGCTGATTTAGCTGCCTTCCTCCAGACCTTTTCAAATATCATCCAAAACCCAGACAGTTTAACAATGTAGACCACAAAAAGAATATCGAAAGATAACATTACTTAATTTCCAGCCTTGAGTTTATTTTGGACGAGAAGCGGAGGAGCTATTGCTGTTATACAGTACTAGAGGAATGCCGGAACAATATGGGCTACATCAGAATTCAGATACACCTTCAGGATTAGCATTTTGCTATGATTCTATTAGCAATAAATAGATTTTTTTTTTAGTTTTGATAGGATCTTACTGTACTATCACCATTTATTTATCAATTTTACAACACTGTCGTTTCCGGTACTGGACAAATAACATTTGAAGTTACGGGTCTTCGTGTTAGGTTAAACTTTTTTCGATTTCAGATGAAATCAGTTTTTCTTTGTTTCAAGTATGTGTTTGAAATCCAAATAATGTGTTCGGTATTCATTTTTTTGTAATAAAGTTCTATATAAATGCTGATAGGTTTGCAACAGAGTTGACCTTCTTCATTATTTTAAGTATCTAATCACCAATCTCATCTTAACTCCTTTCAAAGACCTATAGAGGGTTCACCATTCGAATATCCCCAGCCCCCCTTAACTCTATCGTCCCAGTGAGGTTTTGCAGGAGGCCAGGATTCCAGGGAGGACAGGACGATGAAGAGGAGAGCCCCTTGAAGCCTACCAAAGTACCAATACACACTAGCTTACCGCAGAAGAGTCAGAAAGGCAAGGTAAGAAAATAGTTATGTTACTATCAGTGATATTCAATAATGTGCTGGCTTTGTGCCAAAACAGCATAAATATAGCATGTAACAACTGTACAAATCATTGATCACCAATTGTAACCTCGCTAATTGATCCTTCTAGCTAATTCAACACATAATTTGCATTTATTTATTGGCCTGCATCATGAGGCAATTGTTGGCTTAACAGACAAAGATTCCATAACGAATGTAGAATTGTTCTACATGAAGATTTACAAAGTAAACTATAGGTAAATGTACCTGTTTATCAATAAGACAGACTTCAAACCCAAGTATGTCATGAAATGACGACCTAATAATTTTGCATTTAAACCTATTTCATGACATTGAGGACTCAGAAATTTGTCTTACAAAGTCTGAAAACTTGAGAAGACATGAAAGGAAAATTCAACGTGTATGTCAGCAAAATCTGCTATTTACAGAGATTTAATACCAAAATCTGGTAGCCATAATTTAACCTACTAAACAAATCTAATTATTTTCACTATATCTCTCTTCAGATTAAGGTGATATCAGCGGCCTGTATGAGGAGAAAGAAAGAGATCCTGCAGAAGAGAGGTACAACCCTGTTTATGATCTAAATTTCACCAATTATGCTGCTAGATCCTATCGTCATCTTAATCACTACAATGCACTCCAAATAGATACATTGGAGTATCAGATACCATTTCTAATGGCTCTACCGAAGAATGAACTCTAATGATCTCCACAATAAACAAATCATTTTACCAGTCTAACTTGATGTTTCTTGAAAGATAAAGCTTGTCGATGTACTGTATAACTGGTACTACAGCCTTGATATACCTCTTCATTCTGAATTCTGCTGATTCATCTGCAAAAGAATAAGGTAAAACAAATGAGACCTATGGACAATTTTGCAGGCCAACAGAAGAACAGGTGCCCTGTCTTGATAAGTAATAACTTGGGTTTAAAAGTCTTCTTTTTCCTTTCTCGCGCTATGGTTCTTGCAAAATTTGTTATATAGATATTTCAACTAAATGCTTAATGCGAAATGTTAGTGTTAGGCAATGGAAAATTTGAATCAAATGTTGTTTCGATTCTTGATAAAGGAATAAGCCAATGCAAACTGACCTGTTTCTTTCAGGCTTGTCAGGAGCTGGTCCCTTGACGGAAGAGCATACATTCCAGCAGCAGCAGCAGCCCGAACTGCCCACGAATGATATGGGGCACATGTTTGTCTATAGGCCGATGAAGCTGCTTCTCTTAAAGAGCAGTCACTGAAAGTTGAATTTGACAGTGTTAAAACAAGATCGAAGTTTGAAAGAGAAGATAGGAGGTAAAAAAGATCAAATCAATACTTGAAACATCATTAAGGCAACAACAAAACACCAGAAGGGCAAGGGGATCAGTACTGAAACAAATTCAACGAGATAATTTTCAGTCATCCGAATTTCAGATATTGCATTCATAGTTATTCTTGATGTTTATTGATGCAGAAAACATAAGATAGAGTTGAAGGGAGCGAACATACTAGGTGGTCAAGAACTGCTCGAACAAAGCTCTGATAAGGTCGAGACCCTGTCTAACTCTACGTAAGTTACGTGAAAGGCTTCCTGGGCATTTCACACTGCCATTTTGGACATCAACATCCAGTACATTATGTAAGGTAGGATATATCTTTGATGCTTCAACAAGACCACGCACCTTGACAAACCCATCAAATAAGTTAGAAAAAGTTCAATACAATGATCATAAACTGTACTCTGCCAAATTATGGGAAAATATCAAGATAAAAGAGACTAATTAAGCATTCCAACATTTCCATACAAATCAAGAAACATTTAGATAAAATTGTGAAGTAAAAGGCCTATATAGGGTAAAGACATTAGAATAAATGTTTTATTTTGAACATTTAAATAAACATTTCCCTTTTTCTTTTGGGACGATATTCCATAGGTTTCTTAATATACTCCATGTTTTCCAAATTCAATTGTCGATATGAATTTTCTTTTTCAAAAAATAAAATAAAAAAATGTCAATATGAATTTTAAAGCGAAAAATGACTTCCTAATATGTAAAGATTCAATCTTTCTAAGAGACATTATGAACCTTCAAACATACTAACCTAGACTACAATCGAAATATCTCAATAAAAAACTTTAATAACATCACAACTTGGTTATCATGTGCAAATGATTCGTACATCCGGATATATACAATGAAATTTACGTTCTTAAAGTTGATCTTATACACAAACTTTTATTCAAACATCATGGTCTCATACATATATGATGATCATCATGATCACACAACATTATACAAGTATAAACAAATAAAATAATCAAAGGAAAAGAAGAATACCTTAGCACAATATTCCAACTCGGCAAATTTAAAAGCAAGGCCTAAAGAATTGAAGAGGACAGAAACCAAAGCACAAGCATCACAAAAGGCAATCAAGTGTAGTTCATCTTTGCCATCCTCAATGGTATCAGCCAAATACTCGAACGCCTCCGCAATCGCCGATAAAGGCGTTGCTTGCATCTCTTCATACGCCATTTCAACCACCCTCTTCTCCAACGATCACCATATCATATCATTCTCCTTTTTTTGACAAAGATGAATGATATAGAGAGATAAAAGGAGAGGAGAATAAAAGAGTTTGACACGATTATTTAAAGAAGAATTGAAGGGAAAATAAAGATGTTAAATGATTTGTTTAGAATGTAAATAATAAATCATGTAACATGGAAGGGCGGTGATTTGAGAGAGGAATGAAGCTTAACGGTTTCAAAGGAAAGCTCCTCAACCGTTGGCTGTTGTACCGTTGACCGTTCTTTCTATATTTTGTTTTCATGCACATAATAATATTCTCCGTATAAACTTTTCATTTTTGGTGGCGGATGGTAAACATAATTCGACTTTTGTGCACTTTCCACGATGTTCTTTATACGTTTATTTCACTTTTTTTTGACTTGTAGTTTACGTTGGATCAATAAGATATACAGCTACGAAATTACTTAGTCTAAATTAATACGGAGTATTACTTACTATCTCCGATTTTTATTAGTTGTAAATTTGGAATACTTTATATCTCAGAAATAATACCCTGTAGTTGCAATTAATAAAAATATATTTCTTTTGGTTATTTATCCTTGTAACTTTGCAAGTTTTCTATTAAATAGAAATGTCACGATATTTGCAACACACAACTCTCTTTAATATTTTACCTCATTACAAAAATATGAGTTAGACTTAAAATTTTTTTACCATAAAATACTCCTAATCTATAAGTGATAATATAGTATGTGAGATCAATCTTATTGGATTCCTCTCCTTGTATGTTTTATTAATATTAATATCTAGTTTTTATAAGTTTTACACGTAAGAAAATAGAGATAAAACCGTTTTAAGATGGGTCTTGAAGACTGTAAGAAGTCAAATCGAGTAAAATATAAAGGGGACTAGCTACAGAAGAAAGATAAATTCCTTAAATGAATCCCATAAGATTGATCAATGGTCCCTATAACTTAGGATTACAAGGGAAAAAAATGTCACTAATCTACCACCTACGTTTAGGAGCCAAAACGACCTTATTCAAATTTGTCCTAAAGTAACCGAAACAACATTACCGTTGGAATTGAACATAAAAAGAGCCTGGTATGGCCAAAAAATTAAAGTAGACTATCAAAGCCCAATATAGCAACAACACAAGCCCAAATTGATACGTCACTATATTTTTTGTACCCCTCTATTAGAGGTTATCAATGGGGCCGGGGTCAAAAAAATTTGCCCGGGCCGGGCCAAGCTTCGGGCCAGAAAATGTGTGCCCAAACCCGCTTAAACTAGTCAGGTTATATGGCCTTTTTGGACCAATTTAGGATCGGGCCAAAAAATCAACTAAAAATGCAAAAAATCCATTTTCCAAACCCGTCCAAACTTTTTTAAAAATCAGGCCGGGCCGGAAAATTCTGCCCAAAACCCGCCCAAAATCGCCGAGCTTAGTGTGATCAGCATCATCAGCTCTATCCTCTATCTCTATATACACCAAAGAGAAAATAGTACTATTATTAAGTTTTTAATGAAATTATGGCACAATATCTTATTCTTTACATAAGATGAAATATAACTACATACATAACTCATTCTAATTATTCTTCAGTAGTTACAAGCTCTAACTCATTCTTACTTCCATCACTATCTCTCATTTGCAATTGAACAGGCTTAAAAGTGTAAAACTTAGCACAAACTACATAGTAGATAAAATTAAACACTTGCATTAACGTGATCAACCAATAAAAGTAGTCCAACTTTCCCTTGTTAAGGTTATCATCCGGCAGCCAATTCAACCCGTCTTTAGTAGCTGTAAACTTGTGCACCATCGAAACCATAAAAGTACTCAAGTAATTCCCTAGAGAAATCGCGGTCCAAAACAAAGCCATCGCGGTGCTCTTCATGCTTTCGGGTGCTTGATCATAGAAAAACTCTAGGTGACCAATAGACATAAATGCCTCAGCCATACCATGAAGGGCATACTGAGGCACAAGCCAAACATAAGACAGAGGAATAATGGCATGTGGGTCGTCGACTAGGCCATGAACAATTGCCGTATGTTTTCTCTTTTGTTCAACAAAACCAGCAACAAAAGTAGCCATTATAGAGATAACAAACCCTACCCCCATACGGTGTATGAAGGTTATACCGCGATCAAGGCCTGTAAGTCTACGCATTATAGGGATGAGGACACGATCATACAACGCAATTGTGGTTAACATTGAGGATATGGTGAAAAAGGACATTGAACCTGCCGGTATTTGAAATGTTTTAGTTAGGTGTCTATCCATTGTTTTGGCTTGTTGTAAGGAGAATGTGCTTTGTTGTGCATAAGCTGTGATCAGTATGATCCCAGCAGCCCATATCGGTCCCATTCGAATGATCGATTTCAGTTCTTCTACGCGGTGAACTGTGTTTAGCCTCCATAGGTTTGGTGTCTTTGGGTTGTCTTCTTCGGTCACTATGGCTGCCTTGTCAAGAAATCTGTACATTTATATTAGTGATTAGTAATTTAGTATGATGATAGTGTGATCTACATTCTCAATCTTGAAATAAGAATTACTGCTCTGTTTCTTAATAATCGCAACACTTTGACTTTTGCACTTTCATATGTTTACTTTGATTATGTTTTTTTTTACCAATATATAGTCCATATATATAAAACATTTGTTGCCATGTAAAATATTTTTGGATTAGTCTTTCATTATATTAACCTTTTATTCTTCTTAATAATATTGGAAATTTTGTGAAAAACTACCTATTATAGTTCAGAATTTGCGGGAAACTACCTATTAAAAAAAATGTTGTAATTGACTACCTAATTTTCGAAAAATGTTGTAATTTACTACCTTACGCCGGATTATGAAGGAGTTTGACCAAAGTTCTCCGGTGTTGACTTAGTCACGTGACCATCACGTGACACTTAATGACCCTTTTCTTTCACCAAGTGTCACGTGACCAAGTCAACACCGGAGAATTTTGGTCAAACTCCTTCATAATCCGGCGTAAAGGTAGTAAATTACAACATTTTTCAAAAATTAGGTAGTCAATTACAACATTTTTTTTAATAGGTAGTTTTTCGCAAATTCTGGATTATAATAGGTAGTTTTTTTACAAAATTTCCGAATATTTAATTACAAATGTTAATAGTCAAAATTGTGCATTGACATGTGTGCCGCTCAAAGTGTTGCGATTATATATTATAAAACAGCGGGAGTATATATTTATTTTTAGAGTTATCAGCTATCACAATTTCTAAATTAGCAATGGTTTGTAATTGAGTTTTCAAAGGTGGCTTATTACTTAAGGTTGTGTTCTCCTCAATTTATATTTTATGTTAAGGTTTTGTTCAACTAAACTAATTTTTGATAAACATAACTCATTTTTAGAGCATCCACAATGGTAGTATAAAAGGACTTGCTTGCAATTTATAAATAGTTGGAGCTACATGTTCACCATTGTAGAGCTACATGCTCACCATTAGGGAGCTACAAAGGTTGTAGCTAAGCCCAAAACTTGTAGCTTCATGGATCGGAGCTTTTGCTCCACTCAATGCACTTATATTGATTTGTTTAATATTTGTATGTATTTGTTTTATGTTTATTTTTTGTTTATTACTATTATTCTCAATTATAAAAATAAATAACTAACCATTGTGAAGGTTGTAGCTTAGATGTTGTAGCTTCTTTTAACTAAGAAAATAATGATGTGACAGCTATACACACATGTAGCTAGTCATTGTGGTTGCTATTACGTACTGAATTAAAGTTAATATTGTAACACTTATATACTCCAAGTCATATAGAATTAATTGAATTATAACATAAAAGTAGAATTAAACAATGACCCAACCATAAATCGCTAATCACACATAGTTATTTTGGAAATGACGCGCACTATGTGACAGATATATACAAATTGACACACAAGTTATTATTAATCACCTATTTTATGTCTCTAGCCTAACGTTTTTTATGCCTAGAATTCAAGCATACCATAAAGCCCACAAAAGAACATGCACATAAACCAAAATTGTTACATGAAAAAACCTCACAATATTTCAAATTTCAGTCGTAATTCTTATTGGGACCATATTTGACCCAAAGTCTTTTGCTGTTTTCTGATAATTTAGAAGCTCATTTGACACTTCTTATAGTATAGTATTGAAAAGTTTGCGGTATATATCATACTAGAACGAACATACAATAATTCAGTTTATGTAGCCCTCACCTTGATCACTTGGTGTTACGTACTAGCTACTTGCCTACTTTGTATTAATTTCATTTTGTACGGTACTGAAGTCAAGGTGATCAATTATCAACTTGCAATGATATGTAAGAAAAGTATTATTAGGGATTTTCTATCAACTTGATCCAATACCAAGCAATGGAAAGACTTCAATTCGATACGTATCACATGATTTAATATAGGTATCTAACAACGAATTGAACCCATCTCGCTAATTAGTGATATATCTCATGGAATTAATGACCGGGAGAATGTAGATACATAGCTTAAGTAGTGAGAGGATTGCCTCAAATCCTTAGATACTTTTATTGAATATATAGTCTAATAGTTTCATGCACGACATTAGTTATTGTATTTGTTCATTTTGTTATTGTATCTATCCTTCTATTTTATCAGTTGTTAGGACCTTTAAATTTCTCTTAAATTGGAGATTTATTTTTAAAATTAAATGATTACGAAAAAGACTGAATACATACGCATATGAAAACATAATATAAAGGACAATAATAATAAAAAGAAACAAATCACAATAGAGAGAGGAATGAAAGACTCACTTCATATGCTTGGTGTGAATAAGCTTTCCTGCAAAAGAAATAGGAGCATCAAGCCCCTCATTCTCATAGAGTAACCTAGGGTCATTTACCATAGGCAATTTCCTCTTCTTGTAGGCAGCCACACATACTTGAGCAAGCCGGGTAAACGGGCTCCCGGACGGATCCAAATGCCGGTAAAGCCGGTATCCAAATACAAAACTAGTTATAGAGACAACCATCAAGATAGTTGGTATACCAAGGCCAATTCCCCATCCAATATTTTCTTGGACATAAACCAAAACCGTTACTGCCACTAACATGGATGCACCCATAGCAAAATAATACCAATTGAAGTACTTCCATGTGCTATTCTTTTGCTTAGGATCCGATTCGTCGAATTGCTCCGCCCCGAATGCCACGACACAGGGTCGGATCCCACCCGAACCTAATGCTGCAAGATAGATGGAAATGTACAAAATTGCAAGTTGTCCTCCACTTGCCTCTTCCCCGGGTGGTGGCCTTAGCTTTGGTACTATTGCTGATATTGTCAAGCTTATCATGCCCTATTTTTGTCGTACAATACATTGTTATTATTGTACAAAAATGGACTTAGATTTTACTCCATCCGTTTTTAAATACTTGCTCCATTTCTCCATGTGCAGAATTTTAGGAGAAATTGGAGAAAATAATAAAATATGGAGGTAGTAGGGTAGTTGAGAAAATAAAAAGTTGTAAAAAGCAAAAGTAGTGGAAGAATAAGAAGAGAGAGTATTATGTTGGGTCCACTAACTATGAGAAATGAATTAAATATTGTAAAAGCTTTCCAAAATAGGAAATGAGGCAAGTATTTAAAAACGGCCGGAAAAAGAAAGTAGAGCAAGTATTTTAAAAACGGAGGGAATATATGACTATATAAAGTAAACAAATTTTTTTAAAAACATCATAAATGACATAATTATTATATGAACCGAAAAATTAATAAAAGTCTCCACATAATTTCGTCTAAATTACCTATTTTTAGTATTCTCTTGAACGTGATTTGGTAATTTAGTTACATGGTTTGTACTACATGATTTGGTAAATAGTTATGGGGCCTATATTTCGTGTATGATATTTCATTTTAAGTGCATTTTATGTGATCTTCCTACTAAACGTATTAATTGTCTATGAATAATGGACAACAATGACATTTTTACTCAATTTAGCCTTGCTTTTTATTAATTGAGTTAATGTCAACTAATTTTGAGTACAATTCTATGATGATATTTTCTTTTCATGTAATCAAATCAGCTAAGATTAACGAGTTCATTAATTGATACAAATAGAGTACAAAGTACATATTTTTTTTTGGACACCAATTATGAAAGAAGATCAAATATGTCCAATATTTTACTTATTTTCTACTCTCTTACGTTATTTTTGTTTTTAGAAATTGAACATACAAGTTTATACTCTTTTTAACGTTAAACTAGCGTAGAACATGAATTATCTCAATTTATATTTCACCTTCTTACAAAATTCTCTTCTTTAGTCTACGTAATAATATTTAGTGATTTAAGATTTGAGGACAACTTTTAAATATTTTAAAACATTATTTTTCTTACATACAACAAGCCTATAAAAAAACAAGAAAGACAAGACAAAAACTAGTTTGGACTATATTAAAAAAGCCCCGCTACTTAAACTTGCATCGGATCCTTATTTTTAACTCAATTATCAAAATATAAGATTGAAAGGACGGATGTTATTATATCAAATTTGTTTTAATAAATAAACTTAATTAGCTAAATTAGAAACTATGGCCCTGTTTGATTCACCTTAATTTTGCTGAACTAAAATTATTTTTACTGAACTGAACTTAATTTTACTGAACTGAAATTATTTTTACTGAACTTAAATTATTTTTACTGATTTTCTATTATAATTCTTCTTTAAGAAAATTGAATTTTGCTGAACTGAACTTATTTTTACTGAACTGAAATTATTTTTACTGAACTAAAATTAATTTTACTGAACTAAACTTATTTTTACTGAACTGAAATTATTTTTACTTAATATTATTTTTTTAAAGTGAATCAAACAGGACCTATATATGAACAAATTCTATGTAATTTTATAATAATATGACATTCATTTTCATAATAGAGTAATATAATTAATTAGTTGGATAAAAATACGTTAATTATAAACTATGTAATCATTAAAATATTATGAAAGTCATATTTCAAACGACCACTATAGAATTTTCAAAAAGTGAAGTATCAGTGTACTAATATTGTAGATAATATTTAAAGAGAGAAGATGGTTTACGTACCAATTGGTAGATGATTGAAGCAATGGTTATAGTCCAGAATTTGCCGGCGATGGAGTCGGCGAGGAAGGCACCTAGCAACGGCGTCAAGCTTCCGGTGCCTCCGAAGTTAGTAAGAGTGTTGGCAGCTTTGGTTAATGGCATATGAAGCTGTTCAGTTAAATAGCTTATCATATTTGTCTGAAATCCTACCACGGCCAACTTCTCACACACTTCATTTGCTGCAAAACATGAAAATATAATCATTTAAAGACGATGAAAATAAAAGTATCATATAAAAAACACAGGATAGAAAAAGTACTACCTCCATCCCTAAATAAGGTCGCCTTGGCATGGCCTTAGATAAGGGACAGAGGGAGTACTTATTAAAGACCTAACTCGGGTGAAGAAATCGTACCAAAGATGAATGGCATTGTAATAAGGCCACCCTTAGGCCTTTGGTTAGATTTGGTGGTTCTTCTACCCTGTTGATGATCCATATTTTCCATGCTGTTCATCACTCTCTAGTCTCTGTGCTATTGCACCGTAGAGTATATATGATCTTATATACTGGCTTGTCCCTTTATTTTATAGGCTTTTTGAGGGATTTTTTTTTTGTTTTTTTTTTGTTTGAAAAGTCTATGTAATGATAGGAGGGTAGAGATATTGGTAGTCAATTTTTACAATCCGAAGCGTACGAGTAACTAACAAACATAGTATCTATCATTCAATTATACATAGAACACATGTAAATTAAAAATTACATTTCAAATCCATAAAACAAAGGAAAAATTGACATTTATTACCATCGAAAGCACCCTCTATCACCTTTGCTATCCGTTTAAAAAAAGTTTTATTTTGCTACCATACAAATTCCTAAAATATATATTTCACTACCAAAGACTAAGTCATTACAGTTTCCGTTAGCCACCGTTCAACCACCTTGCAGCCACCCCTCCACTTCACTGCCACCCACCCCCTCAACTGCCACCCCCTCCCCCCTGTCGACGCCGGCACGACCCCACCCCTCCCCCCAGCCGGTGCTACCCCACCCTGCCTTTCCCCCACCTACGCCCCCTCCCTTTTCCCGTTCTTGCTGCCCCGATCCCCACCCCAAATTGAAAACACCCCCTTTCCCTTCTCCCCAGCGGAAATCCCCCCCTCCCTATTCCCCCCCACTGAAATCGACCCCCCCTCCCCTTCCCTTACCCTTTCGGCCATTCCTAGTCCTTAACCTTATGAGTTCTCATATGACACCGTTTTGAAAACCATATGTACAACTGTACAAGTAACTAATTAACTATTTTTATGTGTCTTCGCCACACACTCATTTATTATTAACTAAAGGTTTGTTTGACATTGTTTTTTGTTTCATATTTTTTTTAAAACCAAAAACAAGAAACTAGAAAAAGGTTATTTTGTTTTTCTGTTATCAGTTTAAAAAATTATCATGATTTTAATAAGTCTGATTAATTTTTTTTATTTATTCATTATATGACATATATTATATGAATTTGTATAATAAAAAACCAAAAAACAGAAAACTAAATTTATTAATTAAAAAATCATAAATATCTTCCAAAAATGATAACCCAAAGAATGTACTACTACCTCCGGAACGTAATATATGCAACTTTGGGGTATTATTTGTGAGATATAAAAAATTCCAAAGTTGTATATAATATGATCCGAGGTAGTATATTAGCAAAAAAAAAAAAAAAAAAAAAAAACAACTATATATTAACCCAAAAGCATATATATGAATCATAAGGAAATTATAACCATTAACATGAAACCATAACTATCCCGACGTTGTCCAAATCTTAAAAACACAAAACCTAAAAAACCATTAAAAAAATTGACTAGAAAACTATAAGGGCCTATTCACATTTACTTAATTTCAGTTCAGTTCAGCTCCAATCAGTTCAGTTCACTTCAGTTCAGTTCCAATCAGTTCAGTTCAGTTCAGCTCTTAATTTCCCTCTCACATAAAATATTCATTTCAGCTCAATTCAGTTCAGTTCAGTTCCAATCAGTTCAGTTCAGTTCAGTTCAGCTCCAATCAGTTCAGTTCAGTTCAGTTCAGCTCAGTTCAGTAAATATGAGCAGGCCCTAAATGACTAGTATTTGTTTACAAATAGAATAGTTTTTGTTTAAATAATATAACTATTTAAATAGGCTAGCATAGTATTTGATCACAATGTATACCATCTTTATTAGAATTAGAAACTATAATTAATTGAATACAAGTACAAAACCATTTGAACACACAGTGTCATATTTATTTTTTAGGTAAAATTAACCGCAACATTTCAAATTATGGCTTAGGTGCACCTAAGCACCCTGAAATATGTGTAGTAGCAAAAACACCATCAACTATGATGTTAAGTGCGACGCGTGCCTTAAATGAAAATTTTCGACCACTTATTTTTAACTATGGTGTTAGGCCAATTAATAATGATCAAAGACAAACGTGAAAATCAAATTAGACAAGGGAAATAATGTTGATGACGAAGATGATGACGATAGTTTCTATCAATAGAAGTAGTAGTGATAGGAAAATAACACTCTTGACTTGAGATGCTATGGGACTAAGGGAGTAAATGTCATATGAAATGACGAAAATACTTTTAAATAAATCTTGGGACTTAGCCTAATTTGATTTTGGTTAATTTTTTATTTATATTTTTATATTTTTATTTATTTTTTATTTATTTATTTATTTTTTATAAAAAATTTGGTGTATAAAGATAATATAAATCTTGTGGTGTGGCCGTGTGGCGATTCAATTGCGGTAAAAATTGTGTGTCACAATCGTATCCATTATGGAGGCCATGAGATTTGCTCTTGTTGTTTTTTGATGTATTTGCACTTCTTCTCACCCCCTCTTTTTTTTGTTTCCTTTATTTTGGACATGAGAATGCATTGTACATATTTTTGTGATAAGTATGTTGGTTTATATGATTTGTGTTCAATTTATAGGCATATTAACTAAATATGTATCTTAATTTCGTCATATATTTTTTTTTTTTTTATCTTGAATCTTATTTGTGGATGAAAGATAATCGAGACTAAAAAAACAAAAATTAGAAAAAATTGGAAGACTTTGGAAGCACATGTTTTCAAGACAATTTAACTTAAATGACTTAATCCACTTTAACTAACGTATAAACATTAAGGAAATTGATGCACTTATGAATTGTGTGGATGTCAACTAATTTAGTTTATTAAAGTCTTGGGGATGGTACCCAAGACTCGAGATCGAATCCGATCCCAAGCCATTTGCATTATTAATTTTGCAGTTCTCTCAACACCAAATTAAAAAATACTTGTATATGTAAGGTCACAGTAAACGGAACCTCTTATTTATCACAGGGTATCATATCCTCCAATTTAATTTGTTTGCAATTATGGCGAGTCAACCTCCTTCTACCTTGATACGAACAATTTCAACTGATTTTTCTAATGTTTCGACAATTGGATTATCCTCCAGCCGATCATCATGCTATTTGATGAAGTTTTAACCTGAAAAAAATAATCAACATCATTCTGCTCCAACAATCAAATTGAACTTTTGGTTAAGTGGGTCCTATTAGTCTCGGGTCACCCATCGCACGCACGCACGCACGCTTTACTCCACATTAGTTTGATATTGTCCGCTTTGAGCCTAACCTGAACGAATTTGTTTTTTAAACACCTTTCAAAAGCAGGGCCGTCGCTGGACCAGGTGGGGCAACCGCCCTGGGCCTAATATTGTAATGCTCTGTTTTTGTTATTAAAGGGCCTCCAAAAAAAAAATGAACCTTTGATCTCCATATGATTAGATTAACAATTTCGTAATGATAAAAAAATAAAAAAAAATTTCAAATCTTCAATTCCCTTGATTTTCGTTCCCAATATTTAGTTTTTTCCTAAATATGCTCTAAGACATCAATTACATCCCACCCAGACTTTTCCAATACCCAAAATTTAATTTTTTTTTTCTATACAAAAATCCCTAATAAAATCAATAAACAATGATATTTTTCGCTGGGGCATATTACTAGTTATATTTATATCTATGCATCATTTGAAGTCCATAATTCACCTATATAATTTGTTTATTTATTTATTTTTTCTTCTTACAATATTTACTTAGTTTCTGTATATTTGAGTGATACCATAACAATCTGAATTTTTGATAAAAGTATCACATCTTTGATTATCTTTCACCGAATTGATGTGGCATTGTTTAATTTTGTAAGGTTTGTGTTCAATCTTTATTATTTCTTTCATTTTTGAATTTTTATATCTGAAATTTTCATTTATAAAAACAAAATAAGATAAATTGGTAGGAGAATTTTGATAAATTAACTACTTATCACTTTATCGGAGTGACAGAGTTATCAGTACCGTAAAGTCCGTAATACATTTTTTATTTTTCAAAATTTGATATGAGAATTTGGAGTTAAAATTGGGTGAAATCATACATTTTGCATACCCAACTCAAATATTTTTAATACTTACATAGGGCCTCAATTAATATGTCCGCCCTAGGCCACCAAAATCTCAGAAACGGGCCTGTTCAAAAGATCTTATACTAATGGAGTGTGCTTTTACTCATAAGGAAATCTCATCCTTATTTCTTTCATGTAGGACTTGGGATGATAGCAAAAAGAAACAGATTATACTAAGACATTAAACACGGTTTGTTGATAAACATCTTATAATATGACATTCTCTTTTCTCACAACGCACAAGCATTATGAATATCATGATTACCAAAATTAGAATCCCATAAGAACAAGATATAAAAGGGAGAAACGTGAACAGAGAAATACAAAAAACACTCAATTAAAAAGTAAACACTAACTAAAAGATATATTAAAATAATAAGTTCAAAATTAAGTTGACATTCTAATTAATTACATGTTGGTTGTTACTAATGTGTAACCATATCTAAATGAGTTGTACCATTTGTCTACCATAACTTTTTGCAAGACAATAGGGCCTAAAATCAACAATGCCTTATGATAAAATGGAGTGTGTACTCATTTTGAAATAGTGTTTGGTAAGGTTTTCCCTTAAAGTTGTTCAATGAATATTGAATAATCATTTGCCACATTTTTTTGACAGTCCAATTTAATGCAAAAGAAGATTATCACGGCAATAGTTTTGCGACACCAAGCTTAGCATGACTTATGATATCCCAAAATCGAAAACCATGGAAAGTGCTCTTTGACGCTAGAAATGACGCAAATATTCATTTTTACTTTGGTTTCTTTTCTTTCTATTTTGTGGTAATTTGTATGGTTTACTCTTTTTCTCTCTAATTATTTGCTTAGATTTTCTTTTTGGCCTTTCTCGATTTATTTGCTTCTTAGAATCATAGTGGAGTATCTTACTTCGTAGTTCGTACTTGGTAAACATATTTCCCCCCCCCCCTTTTTTTTTATTTTTTTTTTAATATTTTTATTTTTTATTTTATTTTAAGTTTATCCCCACACCTCCTTGAGGCTTGACACATCTTCCCTAGGAGGAAGTAGTGAGGGAGGTTAGTTATGCATTTGCAAATGCATAACAAACACTAAAATATTAAAAAGCACATGGGGATGAGAGAAAGGAGGAGAGAGATGGGTAAGTGGGGCCATTTTTTAAATATACCGTTGAAAACTTAGATAGTACCATTGACTATGTAGTGATACTATTTTGTTGAGTAATTAGGTTTTGATGATTGTAAACTAATGATGATTATCTATCTAACGTGTTTGTTAAGTTATGCGTAGAAAGAACAAGTTATTCTTGGAACAGGATACAAGGAACCTGAG